ATTCCACATCTAATGAGAGGTCGGACGACTTCGGCATAAACCTGTCTCATTCCAGCAGATAATCCACACACGGAGCCATTGATATTGGCTTTTCTGGCAGTTTATATAACTTTTTAAAGTAACTCTCGATAGAGTATACAAACTGTAAGCATACATCTGAGTATTTTTGGCATATTTCTCCATGTTAGTACTGTACTCTAAGTTGTATCATGTACGCCCACCAGAGTCAATCTACTAAATTCATGCAATGCTCTGACTGTTTGATATTTTCTGTCCCACCATCTATCTGTACCATAATATCTCAAGTGCTAAGTACCTGGCCTCCCAAAGTAACAACATTGGGAAATAAGTGCTTAAACAGTTTACATTATAGAATAAGGAACTTATCAAGCTCTATGATAGGTCTTTCTGCACCTGCCACTAAATTGCTCAGAAAGTTACTTACTGACTACTGGTCCTGATATGGAGTACTTGCGTGACTAGCTAGATTAGAACTTATGCTACTAGACATAGGAGCACTACAGCTGCTCAGCAGCAATAAAATTCATTAAATTTCAGATGACAGAAAGACTAGCAGAATGCTGGCCATAGTATAATGAATTCTCCCATGAGTTGGTAGTATCCAGGAGGCAGAACCAGTAACTTGCAATCCAGCACTAGTTGAAATCTGTATCAAACTAGTACAATAGTTTCACTGTTATTTAGCAACTTTAGTTTCTGCTATACATTATGATGTAGAAGTGGTATTGGCTATATCAAGGACTTCTGAATCATGTTTGGTATTCCATTGTAATGAGACTCCATAGAGTACTATTACAGTTAGCCAAACCAAAGCCTATACTGGTTTCAAGAGACTACTATAGTAGGAATGATGGTAGACTAGAGTCTACCAAGTAGATGTACTTTTGGTTAGGTACCTTAGTCTGATATGCTATACCATACTAAGAAGTACAGTGGTATGATACTAGTAAGGAGCAGTGGTTACCCTACTGAGTATGGTAACCCAAGTAGTAAACTTAGAAATTACTCAGAATTGTTTGACGGTGAGTTCAGGTAGAGTTACCCTACCTTCGGACAAGAGTTTCCTAGTCTTGGGCCATGGGTTATACAGCTGTAGAGCCAAGTGACAATCTTTAGAAAGTAACTTAGGATGCTGGGCTTTGGAGGAAGTTATTAGATTATTTGTTACGCGAGGCCACATCTGGTATTTGAATCACACATTGTGCAAATCACTCATGCACAACTATTTCAGCTCCGAACAAGCTGTACCTTGTAGGTGTAGCAGCTAACACCTTCCTCTGGCCTTATAAGTTACTAAAGTTATGGACTACAGCCTGGTAAGTTGCTGTAAGTCTTGTAAATGTTTATAAATAGAGAAGCTCCAGTAACACTGTATACGCTCACACTCTTTGTCTGACCAGATGCTGTCTGCAGGATATATGACGAGTAGAAGTGAACCTGGAGAACTGTCTCTGGGTTGTTTCTTGTAAAATGGAACAGAGCTGATAGAGTAATATCACTTTGAAGTGGGAAGTAGTATGTGAGGTTACAGGAGGCTAATAGAGAAAGTAACC